CTTGATGTGTTCCGACGTTGACCGCTGATGACTTCGAGAAAAGATCCAAACGTGACACAGGATTGACTGTTGACGACTATGATACGATCATGAAAACATGATTCGTGACCCATTTTCGCGTGATTCACTGTCAATACTTGCATCTTGCATCCAAGAGTCGCGGAGTCGTACATCGTACCGTACCTCTACTACGACTACTAGTACTACCGGTACCGCTACTCTACGGTATTTCAGTCCTTCGAAGTACGACGTATTACGCATAGTGCGATTGATGATGATGTGAACGTTGTTATCCAATCCTCCACTACGGTAGTCTACTATCCACATAGAAGTAATCTTCTCTCATACAAGCTCTAGCTAGAGTAGAGTCAAAAGTCACATGTCGCATCTCCTTGTCTTGCAAATCAAACCATACTACCATTCAAGACCTCCGCTACCACGAAACGAATGATTTCCACGGTGCTGTAAACTAACTTTACATTAACTGTAAGTTTAAATCTTCAACCACCGTCATTACCACCATAATTCCTTCGTTCAAAATGCCGTTGCGGGAGATCGCGAGGCGCTCCCTTGATCACTTCCTTCCAGACTCTTGTCGGCGATATTTATCTACATCGCCGTCATCTTTGATGATCGACGTGAGAAGATCAGGCCGTTGTCCCTGCCGCTTCCGATCATTCTCCTCCTCCAAAAAATCTAATCACGACGACACAAGCAAGATCGCCATTGCCATGTCAGGAGGCGTCGATTCCTCTGTGGTAGCTTACCTTTTATCACAGCAATTCAATCCATCGAAAAACGTTCTCATGGGTATTCACATGACCAACTGGGATTACCACGACGAAGCAACAGGAGCAGTAGAAACGACAAAGAACGACAATCCATCGAAATGTTGGGAGCAAGACTGGAAGGACGCCCAAGCCGTCGCCAAACACCTTCAAATACCCCTACACCACGTTTCCTTTCAGAAGGAATACTGGAACGATGTTTTCGAACCGTACTGTAATCAAGTGGCACACAATGTTACGCCTAATCCTGATGTTGATTGCAATCGATGGATCAAGTTTGGTGTCTTGAAAGATTATCTCTCGAAACGATATGGCATTGATCGCCTGGCGACCGGGCATTATGCACGACTATGGGATCGTGGTATCGGACAGGATATGCCATACTGCCTCCAAAAATGTGACATGAATGATCCAATCTTGGAAGAATATTTAATGCAGTCGTCGGTGCAACATCTTCCCATCTTGTTAGCGGCCAAGGACCGGTCCAAGGACCAGTCATACTTTTTATCGAATGTACCTGCAACCGCCTTCTCCAATGTCCTGTTTCCTTTAGGAGACTACTATAAGAAACAAATGAATGACGATGGTACAACATCATCATCGTCATCCTCAGCAGACGAAAGGACGGTGCGCGAATTGGCCCAACAGGCCCAGTTGCCCAATGCTACCAAACGCGATTCCATGGGGATTTGCTTCGTGGGAAAACGCAAGCATGGAGCCTTTTTGAACCAGTACATTGCTCCGTCACACAATAATCACAACGCCAAACTTCAATGTATCAACATCGAAGACGGAAGTGTTGTAGCTACTGTAGATGCAAACCCTTCCTTGCTCTATGCCACCATTGGGCAAGGCGCCAAGATACCGGGAGCGTCCCACAAATGGTTCGTCGTACAGAAGGTGGTTATTTCAAACGACAAACATCCCACCCTCCTTTTGTGCTCGGGGACGCATCATCCTGCGCTGTACTCGGAGACGCTATTCATCTGTCGTGACAAGTTGCATTGGATGATGGGTGGCGTCCCTCCACCGCTACCGTTTCGTGCCAAGTGTCGGATACGGCATTTGCAACCACTAGTGGACTGTGAAATCGATTTCTATCATGATCAAAAAGACAAAAACAAAGATTATTATGTGGTCCGGTTGGAGTCACCCTTGCGTGGAATTGCAGAAGGTCAAGTATGCGCGATATATGCTGGAGGAAGCGACGGAGACTTGATTTGTTTGGGTGGAGGCCCTATCAACCATCGTGGACCATCCTATTGGGAGTTACAAAAAGAGTTGCCTCTCTTGTTACATCCGGCGGGGCAGAATGATTTGTCAAATACAGGGACAATGTAAAACAAACTGTCGTGATTCGAGTTTGGAACTTTATAGAACTAACAAACTGATGCAGACTTTCCATCATCGCGAGTTTCCATCAGTAGGAGAAGTACTACGACACTCCACGAGAACATTAGGTTGTTGTCCATAGCAGTACCATTTGTTCGGGGCTACATCGAAAGCCCCTCGAGTGCTAGTCCCAGCACTTTCTTCTCTTAGGCAAACCTACAACCTACCCAAGATTCCTGACAACAACAATTCAGTACAATGAAAATAATGTTCGTCGAGGAATTACCTTAATAATATTGCGTTGCATAGGGCATTTACTAGCTAGCATTCGTTTCAAGCAAAATATACGGGTTTGTTGCCAAGAGTGCCATCATGGGAATCTACTAGCTGAGATGGAGGCCAGAACAAGTAGAAAACACGACCAAAAGCTGCATCCACGAAGAAGCCAACCTGAACGACGATCTTTGGTCGCGAAAAAGGAAGATTTAGCGTCGATTCGTTGAATCTACCCCTAATATGGTTGAATTATCGTCGAACAACGGGTCAGTGAACGAAGATCTATTCATTTATTTCTTTCACCTCACAAAATCGTCGACCTCCTATCGACAAAAAATGATATCACGACACCGATCGCAACGGGGAAGATGATGTTCCGTCCCAATTTTCGAACGGCTTTACTAAATGCGATCGATTCCTCTGCATGTAAATGTAAAGTGTTTCAGCCGTTTCCACACTTCGATTCGACGATTTCCTCCACAAAGCATTCATAAAAGAAGTGGTCAACAGTCTCCACAAAAATCCATTGAAAGCACCTAACCCTTACCAAGGAAGTTGGCTGCCATTGCTCGCCCACCAACTAGAAAACTATGAAGATCGCCACTAGTATTGCGTTGTTGTCATTCACGCTTATACATCCAGCCGGAGCAGGGAACACAATCAGAGGACTGGGTATTGGTTTGGACCCCACTGAAGCTCCGACAAAGGCACCAACAAAGGCACCTACAACGCCGTCACCTGTTGAAGCACCAACCGAATCGTTTGTGTGTTCCATTTGTGGAGAGGGCAAAATGGTCACCAATCCTGATGGAGTCATAGATGGAGGTGCTGCAGGAACCTTTGCATGTCTCGAGGTAGTTGCAGCCGCTAACGCCGGACTCATTTCCGAGGCACAGTGCCTCTTGTTGCAGCCATTGGCAGAAGCTGCCTGTGGATGTGAAGAAGAGGGTGACACGGTCGAACCAGAGGAAGATCCTACTGATGCTCCCGTCGATCCTACTGATGCTCCCGTCAATCCCACCGAGGCTCCCGTCGATCCCACCGAGGCTCCCGTCGATCCCACCGAGGCTCCCATTGATCCCACTGAGGCTCCTGTTGCTCCTCCTGATTCTTGCCTCACCATCAGTACGTTCAATCGTTGAATAATTCAAATGGGTTTTCTTTGTTGCACACAGGGTCATGTTCTAACTCTCCATTTTACATTCTGCCTCTCCCCCCAGCTGAAACAGCTTGTTCCCTTTCCGACTTTTCTACAGCTTGCCAACTCCTCGGAGTCTTCGAACTCGAAGAAGGTCTCAACGGTGGAACTTGGACTGTTTTTGTTCCTACTAACGCAGCCTTTGCAGCAATTTCTGATGTAATTGCTGGTTTGGAACCTGATGTCATTTTGGACATCTTGCTTTTTCATGCCGTGCCCGATCAAACCATCATGAGTACCGACTTGGTATGCGATGGCTTCATTACCATGGCAAATGGACAAGACAGCCAGACCATCTGTGATGAAGAGGCTGGAACCATCTTCCAAGTGGGAGAGGGCAATGCTGAACCCAACCTTCCAACGGTGGACCCAGCTGATATCCCTGTTTGCAACGGTGTCATACACGTGATAGACAATGTCATGATTCCTGGCGGAATCCTTGACTCAGAAACCACTGATCCTCCTCAACCTTCTGATTCGGGCATTGCTGAGTTTCCTACTTCTGCTCCTGGTGAAGTTGTCTTGGTAGAAGTTTTCATTGAATTTGATGGATTCGCCCCTGAAACTGGTTGGGAGATCACCAACTCAACAGGCGGTACTGTCAAGATGATCCCTATCGGAAGCTACCCACCCCTCACTGAAACTGCAACAGAAGATGTGGAACTACTGGCAGGAGACAACTACACCTTTACAATATTCGACTTGTTTGGCGACGGACTATCCAACCCTGAAGAGGGTTCTTACAGTGTTACTCAAGGAGAAGGCGAGTTCCAAATTGTGCTAGTATCTGGAGGCGGAAACTTTGGAAAAGAAGACAGCAGCAACTTTACAGTCTTTTAAATACCCTGAATCAGGAGCACTAAGTTCTTTCTGTTTTTGACAGAGCAACAGCTATCCCTGTAAGACTGATGCCTTGGCATTACAGCCAAGTTCCGTGGTAATGCTTGCAGTTGGCAATATTTGCGAAGCAGAAAGGCGAACCTTGTACTTTGATCATATGTGTAAACGTCAAAAAATTACATGGTGTAAACTAATAGACTGGTCGAGATGTAGCAAGCAGATGAAAACTTCACTGTCATCCTATGGGCTAGGCCTTACTCTAGGAAAAAAACTGTCACATTGGAACATATGAGACCAACTTGGCACCAGGGTACTGAGTGGATGAAAAACTGTCGCGTGATTTGCCAGCCCCGATGAGCCAACTTCTCATATGCGGAGTTGATGGCATCTACGGAGTGTTTGCTACCGGTACTGTAGTTTTACGTAGCGCGGTTTCTGAACTTCACAGTTACTACGTATGTATTGTTACTCCTACATGGATTCATAATAAGTAACAGTATAGAGCAAAAAATAGTTATGCATCGCTTCGAAATCGCACATCAGAGAACATTCCAAGGGCGCTGTCGGGATTATTAGCTCAGTTGGCAGAGCGTGCGACTGTTAATCGCAAGGCCAGTGGTTCGATCCCACTATAGTCCGTACTCCTTTTTTTACATTTTGGATTTGTACGTGAATGCATATCTTACTGGCACCGGTAGTCTATTACTACTCTAGCTATCTAGTTTACTGAAGTGGCTGTTCGATCCCACTCGTCCGGACGTCCGGACTCCTTTTTTAACAGTTTGGATTTGTACGGGATGAATGCAAATCTTACTGGCACCGGTAGTCTATTACTACTCTACTAGCTATCTAGTTTACTGAAGTGGTAACCAGAGCTAGTTTCTCTTTTTGCGGGATGATAGATTTTACATTCACAGTCAGTAGTGGGTGGGGCAGTTGTGATTGACTGTGAGTTCACAGTGAGGCAAAAGATCCCTCGTTTCTGCGTTGCAAATTCTTGTTTTTGAAAAAATACTTAACACTTATTATTTATTATAATATTACTCTAGCTAGGGAGAGTATTATTTATTTTTGTTGTTATTCTGATGACTGTGAAGACAAACTGACTGTGAGTTTTTTTTCATGGGCTGAATGATTTTAACTGTAAAAGAGATTCAAGAAAGTTTGCAACATGGAGAGGAGAAAAATTACGTCTGAATGAGCGAAAGGAGAAGATGTATGAGAAGTCAGTTAAGATGTAATACTACAGTAGCAGCTGTGGTTGAGGCAGTTCTTGTGGTGGTTGAGGTTGTACAGTGGGACGAAAGACCCTGTCAATCAGTTTCTGTTGATGACTGTTCATAGGCTGACTACAACATTTGACTTCTTGGTCATCAAGTTCTCCAGTTTTTAACTTCTGTTTCTCCAGAGAGAGGGTCATCCTCAAAGTAGAAGTACTGATGTTGAGCATAAACGGAAAGCACTTCGGATTCAGGGGGAGAGCGCCCAAACAGCTCGATGGGCTATTTCTTTGGCTCCGGCTTGTTTTTCCAGAAACAATTCTGAGAAGGCAGAAATAAGCACATTAATTTGATGTGTCTGTTGATATCTTCTACCTTCTACAATCCGCTATTGTTGATGGTACATTTTTTGTTTTGGTGGACTAGAGTCCACCTCTGTAGGGTACGTACCAACTCGTAGGCTGATTGTGGAATCTTGCAAATGACTTTATGAGCACATCATCCGCTGGCGTATTTTCACTCCGCATCATGAACTTTTTTCCCGATCCAGCGGAAATAGTTGTTGATGGCGGCCCTATTCCTGCTGCTGCTGCTGCTGCTACTATTGCTCCTGATGGTGGTGGCGGTGGTGCTGCTGTTGGCGGACATCTCACTCCCAACAATGTCCGGGATGGTGTGGTGTCGGGTAGAAGCAACAAGTCGTATCTACCTCGGCGACATCATCGTATTTTTGAATTGGTGCTCCATCCATCAGGTTGATTGGCTGACCGAGCACGGCAGTGATCGTCTACATGCCATCCAGAACGATTGAGTTTCGTGGAGGCCAAGGCAACGAGGCGGCGGTACCGGAGCGAGTCGAGACGGGCGCGGGCTACCCACTACGCATGTTTGGCGGCGGCTTTCATCGTGTTCCGGCTGATTGGCGCTTTCCGCGGTGTGGAGTTCAAGACCTTTGGCGGCAGTGGTGGATAGGAGACACAGTACGCCAGGTTCCGCCCTTGCGCAGTCTTGAGCATGTAGATGTCAAGAACCTGGATAATTTGCCTTTGGCGGACGACGAAATGCACGGTCAGACTGGAGGCTACGTTGCTCGGCGCCGGCTGTCGAAGAAGACGCTATGCGATATGCGGTTTCTTATGAATTGGATGACAGAGAGAGTGGAGGCAGCGGGGCACCGTGAAAACAACACCACTATTTCCGCGGTGGATCGCATGTTTCTGTCGATGAATTGCCCATTTATTCGCGGATGGCGCTCGAGACAGTCAGAAGAGGTGGACGAGCATCGTGCATACAATGCGTCGTGCAGTTGCGGTCGAACGAGCAAACGGAATTGTGTTGGTTGCGGACTCTCTAGTAGATTGTCTAGGTGAACTATTGGAAATGTTGAGCTGGAATATTCCCTCATTACAACATCTAAAATTTTTACTACTACACAAGACAAGATTCACTTTTTAATCGACTATTTTTAAATTTTGTCTTAAAACTCCTGCTTCCTTATCCTACACAATCTCTTAACTGTAAGTACATTTCTACCTTGTGTAGGACTTGGTACTCTTCTTACGATGTGGACCAATGGTCCACTAAATTCGTGACAGTGAAGACATTCATCCACTTCTTTTACGCCGATTTCGCCGTCGACTGATTCATTCATCCTCACAACAAACAGTAGTGTCAAGTCCTGCCAACTTGTATACTCTGAGCATCTAAAACTTTACAATCTACGGCTTGTTACACGGTGCAGAAAACATTGTAACAGTAAGCAGTGTTCATTTACGACTGCGACAGTATTGTTGTATCTACTCCAAAGGAAGCATGAAACGACCAAGGGTTCACATGAACGAAAGAAATGATGTTATTTCGTCGACAATAATCAATGGGAATTTCATGCCGACATTTTACTCCATGTTTCTACTTTCACCAGCCGCCATGATTCTATTATCGTCTGGTTTTTGCCACTCCTTTGCATGCACTTCAAGTCCCATAAAGTCGTATTATACGTCTACTAGCATGTCATTCAGCAGAGATATCGGCGGCGATGAGTCAACGTCATCATCAACTTCGTTGTTGGACAACTCAAGCAGCAACTTTCGTCGTGCAGGACAAGATGGCTATTCCCTCATGCGACAACCCCTGCAACGAGACACGTGGGATGCCTCAATTGATCCCACCTTTCAGGCCCCTAAATCGTTGGCTGAACATCAGCAACAAGATGCAGAATGGTGGATTGGAACCACACAAAAGCAATCATCCAAAGAGAGAGAAAAGGAGAACAAGGATCAACAATCATCTTCTGCCTCGCCACCGCCGTCGATTGAATCACCAGAGAGTTTGAATCTGTTTCAACGGTCTTTTGACACACTGGATTTTCCCTACGTGCTACGTGCGTTGCAAAAGGAATGCTATACATCGCCAGGGAAGAATCTCGTGGAAGATGCCCAGAAAATCAATACCCCATCTAACACAATCAGTAAGAAAAAGAAAGGTCCTCCTCCCCTACCCACCTATCGTCCAATTATTGCCGATTCATTTGAAGCCGTCCAACAACAATATCGAGCCGTCCAAGAGATGCAGTGGCTACTGGATCCCACTTCTAACGCGCGCGTAAGTGACGCTTTTTACAAAAGTCGTCGCGGCTATCAAGTGGATATTCCCAACAAACCACCTCCCCTAGAAGGACATCGCTTCGATCTCGACAGCATTTTGCAAATGGTCGAAGAGGGCCAAGTACTGGAGGGACCAGAACTTCTAGATATTTCCATAATGATGAATGCCATGGAGGAGTTGCAATTGTGGAGTCGGGGATTACAGCGTGCCACGGTGACGGTTGGAGGATCCTTGACGGAACGGAACGATAATCTCAATGTCGATGACGACGTAACTGACAACATCCGATCGTTTGCGGAGCTACCAAAAATTGTAGAGGGTATTGAATTGAACACGACATTACAGGCACTTTTGGAAGAAGCGTTTGATGAGAAGGGTAAATTATCCGGAAAAACATTTCCGATTTTGGGACAGTTGCGAGCTAAGATTCGGACCCTCAAAGCCGATATTTTACAGACGCTCGATAACATAGTCCAACTACCCTCCACAAAGGCAAAGCTAGCTTTGGAAAGTGGCGGGCCTTTATATTCCGAGGTTACATCGGCAGGGGGCGGTGGACGGTTGGTCCTTCCGATTGATCCCAAATACGCTTCCGAGCTGGGAATCGTCCACGATTCAAGTCGATCTGGAAAGACGGTGTACGTCGAACCCAGCGAAATTGTCGGACCGACCAATGAATTGCGTCAAGTGGAACATGAACTCGAAAAAGAAGAAGCTCGCGTCTGGAAATCGCTGACGGAACAAGTCTGGAACAATCGTCAATCTTTGCAAGCTTCGGTACAGGCAGTGGCTCAGTTGGATTTATGCGTGGCTCGATGTTTGCTGGGTTTGAAATGGCAAGGAGTGATTCCCGAGGTACGGGACGAAGGTGTGATATCTCTTAAGGACGCCAAACACCCTGTACTGCTATTGCGGCAAGTGGGTAATGTGGTGGGGAGTGACATATCTTTGGGTGCGGATGGGAATCAAGGATTGGTGCTGACGGGCCCCAATTCGGGTGGGAAAACCGTCATTTTGAAGTTACTGGGATTGGTGGCCTTGATGTCACGGAGTGGAATTCCTATCCCTGCTGCACCAAGTAATACTCTCAACGCGGATAATTATCAGCCGAGAGTAGACTTTTTCAGTCCCATTCTTGCCGATATTGGAGACATTCAGAGTGTCGACGGTGATTTGTCAACATTCTCTGGTCACATGCTAGTCTGTCGAGAAGTATTAGCATTAGCTAAATCGGGGAAAAACGCTATTGTGCTGATGGATGAATTGGGAAGTGGCACGGATCCAGCACAAGGTGTGGCGATTGCTCAAGCATTATTGGAAGCTCTTTTGGAGACTGGATGCCGCGTTGCTATCACGACGCACTACATGGCTTTGAAACAACTCGCCTCTTCGGACGATCGATTTTCAGTAGCAGGTATGCAGTTCGTCGGAGGTCGTCCGACTTACAAATTACTTCCAGGAGTGGTGGGAGAGTCGTACGCACTTGCGGTTGCAGAGCGATTACAACTACCTCAAACGGTAATCGATCGGGCCAATGAATTGTTGGATTCCGAAACACGTCAACTCGGCGATTTGATTCGAGATATGGAGGATCAAAAGGCATTGATTGACCAACAAGTTCTGGAGATCGAAGAAAGGAAGAAAGAAATTGCAGTGATTGAATGTAAAATGAGGGAAGAACGAAATCGTTTGGAGAAAAGTATGTTGACAGCTCGTCGCGACGAAGCTCGAAAGTTTGCCAAGAAACTGGAGGAGAAGGAGCAAATTCTGGAGGACATACTTGGAAAGTTGAAGTCAGATCCCTCGCGAAAGGTC